AAACTAATTTTGAAATAAACGAAAACATAATTACATTAGCGCTTTTGGACATTCGTGCCTTGTACAACGGGTCTTAATATTTAAAAAAAAAGCGTTGTACCTCGAAAATTAAAAAAAAAAAACACTGAAGAAGTCGTTGGTATATGTCGAGGAAACTGTATAGTGAATTAAATTATCGCATACTTGTCTCGGTTGTGCGTGATTGTGTGTGTGTGTGTGTGTGTAGCTTACTCGGATAGTAAGTGGGTCGTGTCTCGGCAAAATAAAAACTGTTACGGTGTCTCAAATACGACGACGGTAAAGAGTAAAATCCAAAATAGAAAAAAAAAAAAGACAGTAGTAAACTATGGGTAAAGCGGGAAAACGAATTCGATTAGAAATGCGAGCGTCACCGTGTTCGCCGTGAAACAGAAGAAAAACGACCGTTAAATGAACCGTACCGGTAAAAATTACACAAACCCGGATGCGGTAATATAATTTGAAAAAGAAGACCTTTTTTTTTTTTCTTTCCACCCACCTCCGACTGGCCAAATCACTTTTCTTCGAAACGACAGCTTATACGCTATCATCGGTTACTTATAGGATTCTCTTTTGTGTTCTTTATTTTCAATCGCCGCGGTTAAACTTTTGCCTTACAACAATACTGCCGGTCTGTCCCCTCTGCCGAGGTAGGTATAGTTGGTATTATAATTCATACACGCATCACCGGAAAAGAAATTGTAATGAGATTATATAGAGAAGAAGTAAACGCGCTACGGACTTCACTTTTTTACTTTTGTACCAAAAACTTTCGCGTTCTGAACATCGATACCTTATAGTATTATATTAAATACATTAGAATCAGTGAACCGAACGATGGATAAACTTACAATATTTGGTTAATTTTCTCTTCGCACTGTTGCACCGACATCCATTTTTTTTAAATTAATACATTTATAAAAAAAAGGTGTCATTTTTACAGAATATTTACTCAATCGAAATATAATATCTACTTCTTTATAATAAAAATATATATGTAGGTAGCAAGTATTTGTTTGATTTTCCGTATAAATAATAATATATGCATCATGCTTAAGTAGATTATCGATTTAGTGTGTTTAATAAAAAATAAGTACAACTATTTTTTGCAATAATTATTATTGTTGTATTGTATACTGGTAGTTTTATTTAATATTTCATAAGTTCCATCAATAGATGATTTCTTCTATCAACACCCCAGTCCACTAAAATAATATCACTTATCAGTTATCACATACACATTACACTTATTGTAAAAAAGTAATTATTTATATGTAGTGTCTGGCAAAACATATTATGTATCCACTAATAATCGATGATCATATTTCCTAAGAACATTATACTTCTATATTCTATAATTTAAAATACACACAACTCCATGTATATATCGACGATTTGACAAGAAAACAATTTAAAGTTGTTGTTTAGTAACATTTTTTACTACAATTTTGTTTCTATTTTTCGTCAGATTATATACACATGTAATATACTGTTCTCACTTCTCCATTATTCAAACAGCCTCTTGTGTTCTTAATACAATACTTTATTTCATAAATTAATTAAAAAAATTAAGGTTTTTTTTTTCCATACGCCCTCTTTCTGGTAATTAAATCTATTGGCAAACAATACGAAATTCTTATATTTGTTGCTTGCTTTTTTAAGGTTTGTTTTTACGATTATTAGGTTTTTTCATCGTTAAAACATTGTTATTATTATCAAGTTACTTCTCGGCCTACCGAGCACGATAAAACTATAATTAAAACCGACGCGTAATCAAAAATGTAGAAACATTTTTTTCCCCGTACGTGATTGTATTTTATCATCACTATTATTGTTTTGTTTTTATTTTTTTTCCATAATAAGTCACATTCGTTTCTTTAGTTTTTTAATATATAATACGCATACATGACCTATATTATATTTTAAGTATACTTACTTATGAGTTATTTTTCACTTAAATTCGTTTAAACTGTCAACAGCACAATTTTACTTAGAGAAACTAATTTTACTTTGTTAAAGGCATCTGCTTATGACAGATCCCGGTCACTTTTGCTCCTGTCACTTAATTTCGTTATTAAGATATCGCATTTTAAAAACCACAACTTTAGTTCTTTCTTGCGGTTAAACGTTTTCCTTTATTTTGTTTTACCCTATCACTCATCGATTTCACTTGTCGGCTGTTTATTTTGTATTTATTCACCCCTCCACGGCAAGAATAAAGTAAAATATTCCGAAATAAAGTGATAATACATAGGTTAATATAGGTCCGTATAGTAACTATAGTTCTGCAAATGGTGTTACATATAGAGCAGAGAATTATTTTTTGAGTTATAAGCTGGCACCCTGATTGATTCATCAGCCAGACACCCATTAATATTTCTAAATCCTTAAGGAATACGAATAAAGGAATTGTATTTTATTTGTATTTCTTCTTGAACATCAATCGAATGTGTCGCTTCAAAAAATATGTAATATCCCATTCGCGTTCTCCAACATTGTTAACTGCTTGTTTTTTTTTTACCCTTCCGATGGATAAAGCACTGCGGATGTTACAGACTACTCGCAAAAGGAAAGCGGCGCTCTTTCATTAAAACCACGCTCTTTATACTAAAACATGTTATGCTTTGAGTTTGAAATCTGCCACCAGTGAATCGTCTTTGAATAATTACACGGCGTAACGACGGTTCAATGGTGTTGTATTAAACATGATTTTAATTTTTCGCAGTTGTACTTAAACATTGGTTTTGATGTTTTTGTATTATTTGTTTCTCGCACTCTACACCCTTTGTCCCGAGGTGTAAGCACTACAGAATAATTAATCACGATTTCCGAGCCATATATTTACATTATACTATACACATACACGCGCTGTTACCCAAGATGTCGTATTTTATCTTTTAGTTTTCAACACTTAATTATTATTTCAATATGTTTTAATAATTATTAATTAGGTGCCCTGGTTTCATAGCCTTCTTGAAAATTATGACAGCCTATACGAAGGTTACTAATTACTATCATCAAAGTTTAACAATTATCGTTTATTAAAACAGCCTTTATGGAATTTTTCCAACTCGTCCGTTTTAAGTGCAAAACACCAAACATGTTGTGACAACATTTTTACCAGCCCTTTTTTCATTGACATTATATTATTTCCAAGCAAACTAATTTGTCGATTAAATTTTAGTTAAACTGAAATGGTATTTCGAGTAGGTCAAAGTGTAAACTAAATTAGAAGCGCGTGTACGAAGTGTGTTTGACAAATTTTAATTAAAACAGTTTATACTTACATTTTCTTTATCGATCATGTAAATGTCGTATAATAAAAAAGTATTGCGACGTAAATCAACATTTTTAGAAACATGCCACTAAGAATTTTTATTTATTCGTATGGCAACCACTAAGAAAAATATAAGTTATTTATTTTATTTTTTAGATAAAAATTGTTCCAATAGTTAATTTGTTGCTTTAAAAAGTTTATAAGTTTGTGTTGGTCTGCGAAAAATCAAAATGCTAAATATCACTCAAGTTTGTGTCGCACAGCTGTACTTACTGCTTTATTATAGAGATCATGTACGATGATAAACAATTGTATGACATATTGACACCGAGTGGCGTATTTAAGTCGGAGAGAAATAGATAAAAGATAAAACCATAACATTTATCACTGGTGACTAACACGTTTTACAATATTTATTAAGATCGATACTGCTGAGTTCAAAATAATATTTTTTTTTTAAATGATGTCATGTCTATATCAAACCAATCTAGATATAAACTGAGCTCCTCCTAAATTTACATTTGTTGACGTTCTGAAGTTGAAATGTATAAATACATACTGCATAGGTAGTACATAAATTACCTGCGATTTTAATAAAGCAATTATAAAGTTATTACACCGTTGAGTCTTCAAGTACACAGTTAGTTGTCAAAATTTACTCCATTGCGTATAAATCTCACAAAAATTAATAATAAGTATATACTTTAAAATTCCATTCATTGGAAACTTAAATCGTAAAATTTTGTCTGAGCTACTTAGTTGCTACAGACCACATTAATCTATTTTTATTACATGACCAGTAATTATAAAAGTAAATAGTGTTATTTAAGTTGATACACAGAAAAATACTTAGATTCACTCCCATATTCCTATGTTGGTTGGCGTTGCCATGTAGTTTGAATAAATTCGTGTACATGAATAATATTTTTCATCGCCAAACCAAAATAATTGAAATTTCAAATATTTAATCTTAACTATAGGTTCTATTACTTACGTAAAAACAAGCCAAGTGTTTATACTAATATCGTTATAGACATTTCTACTAACTACACGGCAGTAACAATTTGACTGACAACACTGTTTGCTTTGGCTAAGTTCAAGGTCTCTCATTTTGTTATTATAATTTTACTGCGTGTAATTTTTTTTCCAAACTATGTTCATGTTTGTTTAAAACGGCCAGCGAATAAAATAAATTCATAACGCGCGCCCAGACATAAATCACGAATTCCTCCTGCCGTCGTCCCAAGTCCTTGCGGCGACCTCTACCCTTCCACCGTTTATCCGCGTACTCCAAATTGAACACCCTCAGGTACTTCATTTTTTTTTTTTTTTTTGGCCGCCCGAAAAACTTTAGTCCTACGGTAGCCGTGTTGCATTTTGGGTGCTCAAAGTCACGCAGACCTTTACACGGGTATACCCGTACATCGAGTGTGTGTATCAATGTAACTCACGCGAACCCGTTACCGATATGAAATGATTTAACGGGAGCAGCTAGTTTGAGGGTTAGGGATCGTTGTGAACTGGGGCAAAAATGTCCTTGCACGTAGGGAACCAAAACTCTGCCGGTCGCTAATTAGTATGCGATTGTTATTATACTGCCATTGTCCACCCGAAAGTTTATTATTTTGTCCGCTGTATACACCGTTATTTATACTGCTGTTGTTATGATTTATTCACGGAAACGTTTTTTTTTTTTTGTTTTTAGACTGTTCGCGGTAAATGGTACAGAAACGCAAACGCAGTTCAAGAGCAATTTATAGGTAAGATCATTTGAAAACTAGTGTAATTATCACAACGACCCTAATCCCCATTTTTAAAAATATAAAAATAATTTAGCCAAACCGTCAATTTTAGGACGTTATTTCCTTGAGCGCTTCACAAATACCGGTGATTATCTACAGAAAAAGGTCTGTGCCCTGTTTTGAGTGTTCGAATAGCAAAGAGCCCTAGATCATCGTCAAACGTTTCCGTTCTCTCTTGCCCATCCTTAAAAAGTGTTTTAAGGGTTGGTACGGAACGGGTGATCAAGGGTAATTATTTGTAATACATAAAACTTATCGGATCAGGCGTGTAATGATATATGACGGTTATCCTGTCGAATATGAATTGTAATTAGCTTATTGCGATAATGCCAGTCTTTTTACGGGCACTACGAGTGATTAGCAAATGCATTAATAACAGGACAACGAATTTTATTTTGCCCGGATGCGGAATAAACACGACTTGGGCCGTTGAAACTTTTGAAACTCGGTTTGTATGTGAAACCGTAAAACCAAGACGCAATTGTACGCGTGTCGGCGACTTATTTAATTCGTTTTTAACGAGTTGACGTGCTGAGACGGTAATTTTGATTTTCGCATAAAATCGACCACAAAACCAACCGTGAAACCCCGTCGTTAGCCCCACAACCGTTTGCAGCAGCTGCCAAACGCGTCCCCGAGACACCGTCGTTATATTCTATATGCACTCCAGGCGATGTCAGCGATGCTCTTTATGACGCCCGTAAATTCAAAGACATAATAAAAATATCATTTAAAAAATAAATAAACAAGTCTTCAATTTATACTTAACCTACCCTATACGCCTAAATTTGAATCGGTCTAGACGTGATCGGGAAAAACTGATTTATGAATCCGAGTTCAGTGCATTAAAATCTACATAAATATATTTAGAACTAATTGGTTAACATTGTCTCAATACTGTATTATCCGTTTATTACATGAGCATAACTGCAGTTGGTTATCATTTTTACAAATACATATATTCTATTCCGTATTCAACTAGTAGCGGAAAAGTGATTTTCTTTTAGTTTACGCTTATCAGCTCGGGTATTACTCATGACATTTTTTATGGGTTCTGCTGAATCGACAGGATCTAAAACCGTTAACATCAATGCGTGCGCGTGACTTATAATATATATTTTCTCGGCGTCTCCGTTGATTAAATATGTGCTCGACACACATATTATTATTCACAATGTAGTCGTATTATATAATACACAATTTTTTTCCGTTACTGATAAAGCACACTGTGGTCGACGACGGTGTTTACAACCGAGACAGAAATATATTGCTGTTGACACGCGTTGATTTAATATATTGTAATTGTAACGTGGAACCATTGATTGTAAATAACAATATTTATATAGTGTTTAATATTTTTTCATAATCAATGGTGAAAGAAACAAAATTCGAGTGATTGTGTCGATTTTATTATATTGTTATTGTTAATATTGATACGATTATCGATACAACAAACAAAGCGTGTACCGTTTGCTCAGGAATGGTACCACCGTGCGTGGTGTAGTATGGACACCCGTGTATTGTTATTGTTTTGCATTAAGAAAACTCGCCAACTGTAGAAATTATAACGGTGTTTATCGTAACAAGTGTTCTTAATGCGCCGACCGCTTCGTTTCTGTATTTAATTTAGTTTTCATCTCTAGAAAACTTCTAAGGAAAACACAAATATTAACGAGACTGGTACCCTCTCGGTGTGTTGGTATCTCGCAAGAAGTGTACATTGCGAATGTTATGTTTGAGAAAAGTCCAAATGAGAACTGACGCTATTCAATGCTTTGGCCAGATACGGTCTTGCACGAATGTCACCAGAAACCACCACCGTGTGCGTTATTTTCGGCGTACAGTATACGCCGGAGTAATCAATTATTTCCTTTGTGTGTCGCATCCCTTATAAGTATAGGTATATTGAAGACACAGCGCGGTCTGTACGCCAATCGATCGCCGCAATATTCTTTTGAGCAAAACGAAGAAATAATAGTAATAATACCGAATTTCCGAAAACTCTTTCTTTGAACGTCGTCGGGTTTTGTTTGCGAATAATATTATCTTAAAAGTCCACCAAGAAAACGGTATACCGTACACGTACACAAATCGTCGAGATCGAAATGAAAACGATAGTCTCCTGTGCGCTTCGTCTTCCCCCCGGGCAAACTCTACGATAACCGATAACATCCAGCGAGGGAGACACATCCGACTGCATTCGAGAATTTCTAATATCCCTACTGCTGTGAACGGAACTGCTTTCCGTCTAATCTCTTTCCCGTGCCGATCCCTGTCGTTTAGCGGTTTATAGATACACTATAAAGTGTAGTGAAAATCACCGTCAGTCGCCTGTCAAAAGCCGACGGGCGAACGTGGGCAACTCGGTAAACCTCCAAAATAAATAAACCGGCAAGGTCGGACTGCTAAGAATGGAAAATAATCTTATGCCATCGCCGAGCCGAAATTTGGAGGAAAAAAAATAAAAACGCATAGCTGCTTTGATTTCGCTGACAAACACCATTTTTAATGGCTTATATGTTCACGATTTTGTTCAGAGCATATTAATAGTGTTACGGCCTAAATTGCATCAAATATTCGAAGTGGTAGACATTAGAGTAATAATGTTTGCTAAATTTGTTTTGTTTTTAAAACTTATCAAGGGAACGATTTTTGAGCGTCCAACCCCCATTTGAGCCCATCATTGTGGTATACAGTTTTTTTAATAAAAAAAAACCCGTATTCTTCCGTCACTGTATATTTCACTATAGGGAATTACTAATTATTATTAATGTGTAAAGGCGCAATAAACGAAAAGTTTTCATAAAAATATTAATTTCCATAGTAATATCCAGTGTGCAGCTTTTATCGGTAGCAATTTATTATTATTAAACTTACGCAATATTAATCTCCATGTTAGATAAATTTCGACCAAGACTTGGGATATTACAAATTTAGAGTCATAGTCTTTATGTATACACACAACTTTAAAATTACATTCCAAAGAGCCCACGCAAAGAAGGAGAGGCTTCTTTAAAAAATTCGCAATATATTCTAAAGAGTTGCACCAATATGTCTACGTTATCCAGTTTTTTTCGTGTAACACAACATCAGATTTATTGTGCACAATTTAATTTCAAAATATTAATTTTGCATACTAAAATCTAGATGGGTTCAAAATAGTTAATACACAAAAATTTCATTACACATTTACTCGTAGGTATTAGGAGTATGTATACTTACGTTAAGTACCCGGACAAGCTGAAACAGTAACCTAAAGGCTATACAGTCAATCGTGCGGTGGGGTTATCTAGTGAAAAGCGCATACGTGAAATTTCGCTAATAACCCGCGACTCGGAAAACTGACCACGTTCGTTTGTTCCGTTAAAATATTTAATCGCAACAGACCTAGTGTTGTAGGGAAAGGTCGGTCCGGCTCGACCACCAACATGGTATAATAACATGGCGGTTTGACCCAACGCACGCTCCAAAAATGATTAACATTCTCCTATAACTTTGGTCAAGATGCGTTGCTGAGCGATGTGAACGGCGGGATGTAAAGTAAAAAATCCAAGACCTTTGTGCAAGAATCCACCGCACGAACTCTATCGTGATTACATTATTGCGTCCCTTATAAATAGCCACTTACCTACTGGTAAGTACCCCGTCGAGTTTTTCGACCCGAAATTCATAATCCGCCTGTCTCTTTTTTTGTGCACCGTGTTTTTTTTTTTTCACGTTTTTTTATTTCTATTTTTTTCTGAGCTTTTTTTTTTTTTGCTACGCGTACAGTGTACAATGTGTATAATCACGAGTGTTTTCGACGTTTAACCAAAATAAAAATGTTCGTTTAAAAAAAACCGCCCGACTAGTAAAGAGCGATGAGTTTGTAGCTCACGAGTTTTGGCGTAACTCTTTAACAATGAAAACTTAACGCGCACGTTTCGTGTAGTTACGGCTGTCGAGTTTTGGCATTGTAAATCGGTAATGACTAGATATGTTTGTTTTCAGCTGAACATTGAACAGTTTACAAGCGAAATTCTCTAAATCCACAATTAATGTTTTTTGTTTTTGTTCTTATGCAAAAATATATACTATACATTTTTTATTAATAAAAACAACTGAACGGCTATCCATAGACTGATATCCGTGGTTGTCACGTGGTTAAATTTTTACCAATCTTGATCAGGCACACGTGTATGGTTCACTCACCGTTGTTGGTAGGGAAAAATTAATTAAAATCTAGACGTTTTTAGTGAATTCTAAAACTATTTTTGCTGTTAAAAAAATGTGCTTTTTTAAAACGTTGCGCGCAATATAATTTAATATGCGGTTACACAATTTACAAGTGTGTAGGCGTAAAAAAAAATTGTCTCCATGCGTGGTATACATTTTTATTGCTTTGTACACTATGTGTACGTTAATTCCGGTGGCAAGCGAGATTTTTTTTTAAGCACATCGACTTTTAGCACACCGCAGTAGTCGAAAAACGAGTCGGCACCTTCGCCGAATATATGTATGTGCTGTGAAGTAATATTAAAAAACGCCTTTGTGGTAATAAAAACGTACTATAAGCCTTTGCGAGGAGCCTGCAGTTGCCGCCGTCGCCATTGGATGTTCACCGCGTAGCCCGTAAATAATAGATATTTATGGCCAATTTTATTGCGCTCGAAGGTTGTATAATAATAATATAAAATAGTATTAATGAAACGGAAGTAAAAGGAAAAGTGATTTTTTGAAAAGAATTAATAAATAAAAATACAACGAACGCCAGACGTTGGTACTACATGCTGTTAACTGTGTAAATCAATTTTCTTATATTTGTAATTTTGTATAATATTATAATTATTACGTACGGACTATTCTTTTTATTATTTATTACTTGTTATTTAAATACACGGCGCCATGATGTCTATAGACTATATTAATAAATACTTTGTAATAATCTCTAATTTTAGACTGTAAGGAATGCCTTGAGG